TAATTCGGACTAAGGTCTCTTAGGTTTCCTCCTTCTGTCTGCTCCTTTCTTCGCACTTCTGGAAGGCTTTTAATGCCCTGCAGCACTACAGCACTTTTAGTTGTTTCTGTATGCTTTGTATGTTTTTGTATTGTTTTATGGCTTTGTTGTAAAGCACTTTGAGTACCATTTAGGTATTGTAAAGGGCTATACAAATAAACTTGATTGATTGATAATCATTAGTATTAATATCATTGTCATTTTTCATCCAGTCTGTGTGTTGCTGTGTTGGCTACCTCTCTCTCTCTCTCTCTCTCTCACCCCCCACCCTGAGCCATGGTTCTGCCTGTTAAAAGGACGTTTTTCCTTGCCTGTGTCGCCTAGTGCTTGCTCATGGTGGGAATTGTTGGGTTTCCGTAATTAACTTCAGAGTAGGGTCTGACCTGCTCTGTTTGTTGCGATGTGGCGCTATAGAAATAAACTTCAATTGAATTGAATTGAATATCTGGGTCGGATCGGAGAAAATGCAGATCCAGACTCCAGATCCACTTTAAAAATGATTATTTAATTATTATTATTATTATTAAAATAATCCATTCCACTTTGCTGTGTTGTTCCCTGATATTGGGTCCAGTCATTTCCCTTTAGCATTAGCATTAGAATTAGCATCTCCTGACCCACAGGTCTGTGTCCTAACCATTAAGACAGCCATGTTAATCTGAAGCTATCAGTAAAAATGTCAGCTGTGTGGGATTATTTTATCCTTAAGGACGAAAAAAAGACCAAGAGCTGGATGTAAAACAGAGTTAATAGACAATTTTCTGTTCAGGGTGTTTGTGTGTTCTGCCTTTTTAATACCGTTTACAATCTTTTTATGGTTCACTGATGCCATTTCCATTTGTTATTTACAATTTGGTCTATTTTGTGTTTATCCCTGAATAAACAAGTCAGTGTCTCTTTACCAACCAGTGTGTATTATTCAGACTCCCCTGATTCAGCTGCTAGTTGTTATCAGAGTAAATCCCTGTTCAACATGAGTCTGACAACTAAGTAAGTAGATAAATAACTTTAAACTTTAGTACATGCTCTG